GAGATGTTATCAACAATTCTGAATAGGGCTTTCTGATCGGCAGAATCAATACAATTTCGGTGGTATTCTGCTTTGCATGTGCTAAGACGAAAATTATACTTGGATCTGGCATCTGTGAAAATCTGTTTATGTATTTCAAGTCTAGTGCCAAGCCATTTTCTTTCCAGCTTACGGATTTCCTTACGCTCTTCTAACAACTCTGGTGTGATCCATGTAGCCTTTGGCTTTACTGTCACTCTCTTTTCCTGTAGTGGAGCCTGGTTATCAATAGCCTTTGATAACGAATTATTGTAGTGAGTAACTTGTAAATTTATGTCAGATATGCTGACCATCTGACTTAAAGCATTTGAAAGTTCCCTGTTTAAGATGTCACTGTCAATTCTGGAAAGTAGCCGGCTCTGTTTGACTACTTTAGTTGGCGCTGGGCGGTTGGCATTGGCTACGAAATGAACTGCTGCATGATCAGAGGGCAAAGTGTGATCTACGAAGAAGTTACTGAGACATGAGTTTTTTCTTGTCAAAACAAGATCTAAAACATGACCTTTCGAATGAGTGGGCTGAACACATCCAAATCATGTATGCTAAGGCATGTTTAAAGCTATTTTATCTCAGACAGCTTAAGAGGGCAAAACTGGACCTACAAGATTTATTAACTATCTACCAGTCTGTAATACGATCAGTTTTAGAATATGCCTGTCCAGTATGGGGACCAGGTCTGACTGCTGAGCAATCTGAATGTCTAGAGTCAGTTCAAAGTCAGTCAAAAGAGAGCCTTAAAGATTATTTGCCCTGGTCTCAGTTATGATGATGCCTTAAAAGTTTGTAACATTGACACCCTAGACAAACGTAGACATTTGCTGTGTCAGAGGTTTTATAGAAAATTTAAAAATTGTGAAAAGTTGGGACATTTATTGCCTGAAAGAAACACCCGCCCTTTACGAAACAACACCAAATTCTTACAACCAAAAGTGAAGACGGAACGTTTTAAAAATTCCATTATTAATTACTGCCTTTTTAACTTGTAGTAATTTATGGATGCCTTTTCATTTGTAGTATTTTAAGAATAATTTATTGTTTTATAATTTAAAGTTTATTGTCAATTTTCTTTTAAACATTCTTGTACAACTTCAACCTTAGGGTTGCAATTTTATCTAATAAATTATTATATTACCTGAAAAAATTTATTCTAAATATTACCTTTATCAAATACAGTGCTTGCCAAAGACACCATGGTCTTTTCAATATTGTTCGAAGTATATGAAGTATTAAAATGGCACATTCAAATTAATAGACATGTGAATGAATTATAATAACGTTATTACAGCTTGTTTGTGATATCATGTAATATCATTACTTATCAAGCAGGAAAAACAAAAACAATGGCCTGAAATCATTTATCACTATTATTTATTTTGGTTGTCTCAATCATCCTTTCATAGGATATAAAAATAATTTATGTTGAAGTTTTAATGAACTAAAGCAGCGGAAACATTATTGTTGATAAGCTCGAGTAGACAAGTCAAAATACACACAAACGTTCATGTAGAGTTACTTTGTGTAATTTTGTTTAAATTTGGACTGCAACTGATGGTGACGTTTTGTATGCTTTTAGATGGGCATATGCAACACAGCAGCAATGAGGTTCACAATGAATATTAACCTCTATATGGCATCTTTTCTTTACTGAGAGCTTGTAAAGTTTGTAAAATAGAATCCCTTTTTGCCAATATTTCAACAGCAGTCTGCTGTCCTCTTCAAAGGGGAGAAGTTACCAGAAGTAGATTGAAGTGAGGGTGTGTAGTTTAACCTATACAGGTGTTATGAATCACCCTGGCCTCAGTCCTCAGGAAAAATGCAATATAAAAATTACTATATGAAGTAATTTACTAGTACTGTCCTCTTTTTACTAATATTTCCAGACTTTTGTAAGGGACGCGGTTGCGCCCCTTAGGATGTCGCACCCCACTTAAGATGTCGCGCACATTTTTCGGTACCTAGTTAATATCTAGTTAATATCTAGGCACTATTTCAAAATTAAAATTAAAGTATATAGGCGATATCACCGGTATAAATAATGTCGAGATTTGGATAAAAAATGGGCAGGTGTTGTAAAAACTAGGAATAACGTAGGCAGTGCGAACAAAGCTGCTTGGAAATCCACGAATCTTGTTTTTTGTTAGTAATGGCCGACAGCTGTTAAAGAACTTCACAGCTTCCTTGGACAAATAAAGCATTTTAACGTGGTCAATTGTAATACAAGTATAAGAGGTACAGTGCAGAGAGATAAAATGAAATGAGTACTGGGCACCTGTCTCGTTTAGCTTGAAACAATGTATTTGGAGAGGGGAAAGGGAAATATTTGAAATTAAGAAGGGGGTATGTATGACACTGTGCCCCCCACCCCACGCCACCCCACATTATAGTAGTTAAGCTCACACGATGAAATGACACAAATTTGTTCTTTGACAATGCATACCACTGGGCTGATATCTAAACAAAAGAATTGCTTGGACCGATACAATGAATGAGACGGCGTGACTGCCACTTGCGGAAGATGGGCAGGAAATCAACCAACTACTCACAGTAAACCACTGACCCATGTCCCTGTTAATACACACGCAACCACAAACCATTCACGCAAATAAAAAAGTTTGGACGGTGACCGCAATTAGGCAGTAAACGCGGGGAAAGTCCATTCTTTAATATCACCCCATGCGCGGTGATATCAGCGTGTTCTATTCAAAGTTAGGGGGTTTAGGTGCGGAACATGCCCGATTTCCATTTGAAACCTGTATGTATGACAAATAATCACTGTTACACCCTCGCCGATATACAGGTACACGATAGCATTGCCTCGCTGGCGTTCGACATACTATCGTGTATATCGGGCTCGTGGACAGTGCATTATTTACTACATAATGCACTGTTACACCCTCGCCGATATACAGGTACACGATAGCATTGCCTCTCTGGCGCTCAACAAACTATCGTGTATATCGAGCTCGTGGACAGTGCATTATTTACTATCTGTCAGCTGATGATCGCGTCAGGTCAGAACAAGGTTGTGACTGATTTAAAACTGTGTCACAAATATTAGTCTAGGACCAGATAACGTGTCATTTACTCACGATACTCAGAGTACATTTTGATATTAAGCATTTGTTCAATCTTAAGTAGTTTGTTATTTTAGTGAAAAAAATTCAAGAACTTACCCAGCAGGCATAGTTGCGTTGGATCAACGTTGAAAACAGGTTGATACGTTGAATTGCTATGCCGTTGATCTACCTAAAATTCAACGTAAAACCAACGTTGATCCAGTCACGTCGAAACACCGTCATAATGTGACGTTGACTCAACCTTGTATTTTGGTCATTGACACAACCTTGAAGACATTGATTATATTTTAAAATATTAATTGTTGAAAACGTGATACTTTGTTTATCAATACTGTAACTAACTTTATAAAAATAATCAAAAAAATTGTTAAAAGTAAAAGTAAAAGTGACAGTTGTTTTGTGTCTTTAGTGAACTAGTGAATTTTCTTAACTTGTTATTCAGAAATACATTCCAATAAACTGAACTCCTTGCAAGGTCAGCTAACACTAGGATAAATAAGTTGCTGTAAATGTGATGGAGTGAATTTATAAAGTTAACATTTCTTGGTAACCTGTTATACATAGACAGGTTGAGGTGACTGTGACTTTGTTATATATATATATATATATATATATATATATATATATATATATATAAACCTTGGAAATTTTAACTTAAAGGCCACACTTTTATACCCTACCCTCAGGTCATTTCAATGTCTATTCATGCAAGAATGTTGTCTTATAACTGGGGTTGATACAATGTTGTTATCTGACGTTGATACAACGTTGTTGTCTGAGGTTGAGTCAACTTTCAAATCCAATGTTTATCCAACGTCTTATCAACGTTATGGTTCAACGTTGTTTCAATGTTAAAACAACATATTTTGCCCGCTGGGTATTTGGGTAAAAAATATCATTTGTCTAGTAGACACATTTTATAAAATTTTCTTGGCCCGTTAATTACATTTGCTCTGATTTCGTGAGGTTCAAGAGTCACGTCCTGCTGTCACTTTGACTGGTTTCTGAATATAAAATCTTTCAGGCTCATTCCCATTGAGAACACACTTCCAAGAGATTAATCTTACTCCGCCGAGACTGAATGCAATCAGCTTAGTCGATTCCTTCTGCCGTTGAGAAGAATACTGGTGATCATTCAGTCACTTTGGAAACCAGATTTCTTTAAAATTCGCCAAGGTGAGATTGCGATTTCAATTTCCACTCAGATATTAAAATTCTCGCCAAGGCCGATTTAATAACATGCCTGGATTTCAATCTTGCCCTTACACATGTATGCTGTTAAATTACCACTGCATTGTCCAGATAGCTCACGTATTAGGAGGACATATTTTTGCCCTTTGGACTTAATCAACTGATGATCTCATGATAACGTCGAGAAAAGAACAATAATGTAACTGATCTGTGCTACATAAATCAGTCAAGGGCCAGATAACGTGCAAATCATTTAGTTGTCTACATGAGTACGTTCCGATATTATGATTATACAAGGGGTTCAACTTTTAGTACTTTGTAGTTTCAATTAAGTCAATTAACAAAAAGAGATTTTTTGGCACTTAAAAGCATGACATTTCATTGGACCCTTAATTCGGTTAATTACAATGTGTTGATTTAGTGAGAGAGGTGATACCGTGGAATCAAACCTTTAACATGACAATATAATACAACAATGCTGTAAATTTTCAAGCTGGTTAATGTATCATAAAACAAGTTATCGCTGCCCCCATTTACTAGCCACATGCACATCAGTTATATCTAATATATTGTGCATGTTATCACTATTGGCATGATACAGTTTTTCTATACATCATTCATAGACATTGTCACCTCCCAAGTTCAGATATCATGGGCTAGACTATAAAGGACACTGCGTCTGCTATTTACCTCATATTCCATTGCTCAACTATTGACTAAATGTCTTTCCGGTGCAATGATATGACAATATGGCCGAAGCATTGGCAGCGGCTTTCACGGATAACATTTTGACATGTAGTATTTGTCTGGACGTGTATCAGGACCCCCGTGTGCTGCCTTGTGAACATACATTTTGCCTTGATTGTATATCTGACCACGCAAAAAAACTAAAAAAAGAACTAAAAAAAGGAAATTTCAGTGCCCTGTTTGCCGAGAAGATGCCCAGTTTCCAGTTGGGGGACTTTCTCAATTAAAAAAGAATTTTGCCTTTTGCATGGCCAAAGACATAATAAACCAGCAACAAAGAGAAAGAGGAGTATCAGAAAATGTGCAGACTAATGTAGAAGCAGTGACACAGGCCGTTGCACAATTGACCAACGGTTGTGAGAAACATCCTGATAATGAACTGAAATACTACTGTGAAGATGATGATACCGTTGTTTGTGGTGACTGTGCATTAGCAGATCATTATAGGCATGGTATTTTACCTGTAGGAACAGTTGCAAAAAGCTATAGGGAAAAAATTGGAAATGCCATTGTTAAAACGCTGGCAAAAGCTAACGTATTCAAAGAGGCAGTTGCCAGGAAAGCAATCATAGAATTTGAGGACTCTCGTATCAGGACAGCCACTATCAACACCATTGAGAGACAAGCCCACCATATTTGTACATTAATTAATGAGAGGAAAGAAACACTGATATCAGAAGTGAATTCTGATTATGATATTAGAAAAAAGCAGAACGAGGCAAACAAGGACATCCTTGAACTCCACCATGCCTCCTTGCAAAGTGCCTGTGGCTTTGCCCAACAACTTGTTGCAAATGGCACCGACTCTGATATCATGGCGCATGCAAAGTCTCTCACAAATAAACTGACAACAATGGAAAACATACCAGTACCAACACCAGACACAACTGCAGAGATATCTTATAGTCCTGGTGAGATATCTACTGCTGGACTGGAAGCCATGTTAGGACAGGTGACAGTACAGACAATACCACCATCAGCACCAAATCGTTTTCTAAGAGAAGGCAGAATGCGTACATTCTTTCACTGCTAAAATGAAATATGATAAGGAAAATGTTGTCACATGGGGGCAAGCTAGAGATGAGCAAAATATATATGCTACGGGTTATACAAATGATAAAACAAACGTATTCACACATGCAGGTCAGTTCATGTTTGATATAAAATTAAAGAAACTTTTTGATGCGGCTGTGTCACAGACTGGTAAACTGTATATAACATCAGTGGGTGACAGATGTGTCAAAGTGTACTCCACCAAAGGTAAACAGGTGACAACCATAGGTCAGGGTCAACTGGAGAAGCCAAGTTGCATCACACTGAATAGATAAGGTCAAGTGATGGTTTTTGATGTGAAAAAAGAATCCATCCTCACATTCCACGCAGGCAGTGGACATCTCCTGAACATTATTCGACTTACTATGTGTGAATACCCCACTTTCGTCACAGTGAGCAGGGCTAATGATAACATTGTGATATCAGACTTGGGCAACTGTGTACACATGCTGTCACCTACTGGCGATCAGCTGTACAAGTAGGGTACAGAAGGCAGTGGTGTTGGCCAGCGGAGTGGTCCTAGTGGAGTGTGCACAGACAGCTATGGGAACATCTTCATAGCTGATGGTCGTAATAATAGGGTTGTAGCACTCACTCAGTTAGGACAATTTATCAAATATATTGCCACTGAGGATGATGGGTGGAAATATCCCATTGCATTAACTATTAACCCTGCTGACCTGCTGGTGGTGGCAGAGAGATGGGGTATAGTTAAGACATTCCTGTACTTACAATAGATACAATTCACACAAAATACTAAGTACACTGACAATGATGGTATGCCGTTTAGAACAAGAATCAAGACTGTTGGTGGTAGCAGAGTCAAAGAATAATTAATTTAAGGTATTTTGGAATTTACAAATCTAAGAATAATTAATTTCAGGTATTATGTTGAAATATTATTATAGTACTGTGTGATAAATTGTAAATAACAAAATTAAATAAGAATCACCTGGAACTATTTTAAAAGACATGTAGCAGATAGTTTACGAAATTTGCAAATTTGGCAAAACACCGCATCTACCACAAGCAAAAGACCAATTGGCTGACTGGGTCAAGCAAAAAATATAACTTAATGTAAGGAAGACTATGTCGATGGACATAAATTTTACCAAGAACTGTAATCTTACAATACCAACATTGGAAATAGATGGTGAACGTGTAGAAAAGGTCAAAAAGTTTAAGCTACTTGGTGTTATTTTAACCCCAGACCTCAAGTGGGCTGAACACATCCAAATCATGTATGCTAAGGCATGTTTAAAGCTATTTTATCTCAGACAGCTAAAGAGGGCAAAACTGGACCTACAAGATTTATTAACTATCTACCAGTCTGTAATATGATCAGTTTTAGAATATGCCTGTCCAGTATGGGGACCAGGTCTGACTGCTGAGCAATCTGAATGTCTAGAGTCAGTTCAAAGTCAGTCAAAAGAGAGCCTTAAGGATTATTTGCCCTGGTCTCAGTTATGATGATGCCTTAAAAGTTTGTAACATTGACACCCTAGACAAACGTAGACATTTGCTGTATCAGAGGTTTTATAGAAAATTTAAAAATTGTGAAAAGTTGGGACATTTATTGCCTGAAAGAAACACCCGCCCTTTACGAAACAACACCAAATTCTTACAACCAAAAGTGAAGACGGAAGGTTTTAAAAATTCCTTTATTAATTACTGCCTTTTTAACTTGTAGTAATTTATGGATGCCTTTTTAATTTGTAGTATTTTAAGAATAATTTATTGTTTTATAATTTAAAGTTTATTGTCAATTTTCTTTTAAACATTCTTGTACAACTTCAACCTTAGGGTTGCAATTTTATCTAATAAATTATTATATTACCTGAAAAAATTTATTCTAAATATTACCTTTATCAAATACAGTGCTTGCCAAAGACACCATGGTCTTTTCAATATTGTCCGAAGTATATGAAGTATTAAAATGGCACATTCAAATTAATAGCCAAATGATCACCTAACAGCTGTTAATTGTTAGAAATAGTGCTTTTTATTACGTATACCGTGTCTAACATGATTAATGGTTTAAAAAATACAAAATAGTGGTGAAAATATACATAGTTTATACCATTTAGTAAAATTTATAAGAGGTACCCCCTCAAATCGACTGTTTCACTGTGACTTCTAAAGATGTAAAGAAATGACTATAAAATTGAAAAGACGCCATCAAATGTCACCAAATTCACACACAATTAGCATTAGGGCGTGCTCATTAAAGATCACGTGCCTAACAGCGTGTGCGTGTACCGCGTACTGCAATTATTTCCTGTAGACGGCGCGACAGCTGTGAGGTGATCATTTGTAAATAAAAGTGCATGGAAATGGGGGTGGGACAACCTTTTTGACCAATGCTGTATATCATTATTAATCAAGCAGGAAAAACAAAAAACGATTGTCTGAAATCGTTTATCACTGTTATTTATTTTGGTTGTCTCAATCACCTTTTCATTAGTTATAAAAATAATTTAAATTGTTTAAATGAACTAAGGCAGCGGAGGCAATATCGTTGAAACCTCGTGTAGACAAGTCAAAATACACACAAATGTAAATGTGCAGTTACTTTGTGTAATTTTGTTTAAATTTGGGCTGCAACTGATGGTGACGTTTTGTATAATGGGTGCCATTTTCATATCATGGAACCTGATTATAGACAATTTGTTACAAAATTCATATGTGTCCTCGGTAATAAAAAACAGTCTGACAACGAAACAGTTAGTCATGTTATGTATTGTACATTTATATAATAGGGTCAAATACATGTAGATGTTACCCTGTGCAATCTGGATATAATGAATCCGTTGGTGAAAGCTACTAAGACTTTTATACTTGTATTGCAAATTTATCCATATAAGATAAAAGCCAATTATAAAAACCGAAAATCATTATCCTTTTGGAGCAAGTTTGATAATTTTCAGAGTAAAACTAATACAATAGATCAATTAAGAATTAGGTTTTGAGATCAGATTAAAATGCACCTCTGCACTAGGATAAAAGCTGTTGAAAAAGCGTTCACTGCCTTTAAAGGTTAAGAGTCTACAAGTGATGATGCAGGATGAGAGTCTTCCATGGTGTAAGCAGTTTTTTTTATTGACCATATGCAAAGAATCGAATTATTTAACAGAGCGATGGACTCCTCACATAAATGTCATTCATCTTTGTCAATGTTGGCAGACCTTTATTTAAGCTGCAAGCATAGCAGTGAGCAAAGAATTCTCTCTCTGCCTACACCCTTCACTTTTTTGGCCATTTTCAGCAAAATCGTATAATTTTGTGGAATTTTTATCCGAAATAAATGCCCTCTATTACTACAACCTGATGTGGTCTGTTGTGAAGACGCAAAACGATTCCTTCCAGTCTAAAGACCTTCTATTATAAAAGTTAGCTATGATTGTGTTACATGTAGCTGCAAGGCCCTAGGATGGGATTGTAATGTGTTAGTTGCATTCTACTCACTTTGGTCCTCTAAGCTCAATAAGAAGGTAGTTGTCCATTATGTCTAACTTGAGCTGGTAGACAGGATTAGACTGGTGTGTGTCTGGATAGTTACCACACCCCCCTGCCGACCTGCCTTTCCACTGTCCTGTCAACTGGAACATGGAATAAATTACCTTCATTGTGGATGTGACCATACCGCATAATTGAAAAACATCATACGTAGAGTAACAACGTTTAATCATCTTATTTAAATGTATTATGACAGATTCACATGGGATTGAAATAGACCTAAATTTTCTGTCTTCTAGTTTCAACAAACTTTCCACTTTAGCCCTTATTTTAATGTGAGTTCTCTTATCAGCTTACTGCAGCTTTTACCACAAGGCAGTACGGTAATTACATTAAATTTTCAAAAGCCCTACTTTTTCAAGATTAATTATTTTCAGACTTGCAAATTACAATAACGTAGTCCTTAACACAAAGCCAAACGATTTGTTAATTTTTTTTCTAACCGTTTTAAGTATTTAAATATATTTTTGGGGGGATATGGATGGGAACAATCAATTTATGTGCGAATTTTTTTGTTATGAATACGGTATGTTACATATCCGGCACTGAATCAAGCGGTTTTTCAAAGAAGCATGATGTTTTCGTGAGCAGAAACATGGTTTGTTGCGGTTTGGTGATTTATGAATAATAACAACCACAAGGTATACTGTAGAAGTTCGACATGTGACATGCTAAGTGCGAGTAATTGTGTCGCTACTGTAGTAATTGAAATTTTATTCCGGTTTAAGTGCAGAAAACTTGATTAAATCCAGGCATGAGAAGTGAGCAAGTCAGTGAATAGGCTCAGTTATTAATATCAACCCTTTTTGTCTTAGAATTAAAACCATTTTAAACATGAATTAAAAATTTGTATATTTATAATTTTTTGATGTCATGAAAAACGTTTTGTCTATGTTATGTTTAAGAGAGAAAACTTACAATGAAACGGTGTTCGGCCCCATACTTTCTAATAACCCTGTTATATCATTGCTCAAGTTAGGTTTTAAACTCCTCCGTATCCGCATTGCTTTTTATTGTTAAACAGTATTGCACGACAAAGAGCGCCATTGATTACAACTCTCATTTCACAATGCATGCAGGACGTTTGCTGAACGTGTTGATACTGGCTGCGTTTGCCGTACTGGTAAGCATCTATCTCATTTTTCTCTCGCTCTCTCTCTCTCTCTCTCTCTCTGTGGGGGAGAAAGCATCCACTGAACAAAATACATTAATGGATTTGATATAAAAAAAGGGAAAATAAAACTTTTCTTACAACGAACGCAATTTGAACAGCAGGACAATAGTGCTGAGGTTTCAGTTTCGTTGTAATTTTATAAAGTACCGGTAGATATTTTCGGAATATGGTCCACTATTATCAAGTCTTGACAATTGCTATTATTCATGTCTGTAATACTACCACCGACGTAGAATCCAACTTTATTTCTATAATTAACAGCTGACTTATACAATTTAATGTTTTCATATGACTTCCTTTTTATTATTTCAGGAGACCTGTGGATATACAGGCAAGTTTATCTTGGAATTTCAGATCGTTGCAAAAAGTGTTTTAACTTTTGATAAGTACATTCAACCGTTTTAACGGATGAATTTAAAATTAGTTCGAATAAGTTAGTTTAAACAGACGAACGGAATGCACCTCAATAGTTCAGCTACGTGGGTTAAATAACATACCTATATATATTCTTGTTAACACATTGGTTTCATACAAAACGCATTATAAAGAAGCCACGCATGATAGCGTTTAGTTTTAAATCTATTTATTTATTTAACAATATTTTTCTTAGCACTTTGATACAAATTAAATTCTCTCATCTCTCTCATAGAAATTAGATTACATTAAGGTTAGGAGCGTATATTTGCTACCCTTCCTTTCCCTATAGACTTCGTTCGGCAAATCTGCAACAGTAGGCATTTGGTTTAAATAATGTAATATTCGTAGGGCAAAAATTGTTTGATTTTTGTTTGATTTGGGTTGTTTCACTTCTGTGTCCTGCCCCTGGATACTCAATTACTGCACTTTGTGGAGGGAGAAGGGAGTATGAGTGTGTGTGTGTGTATGTGTGTGGGGGGGGGGGGGGGGGTGCAGAACCTCTGAAGCTGTTCATATTTTCGGACTCGCATTTGGTCTTCGTGTATAAAGATATGTACGCGTGCAAATATGTGTTAACCATAGTTTTCCTGTTTTCACAGATACATTGGCATTGTTTCATAACAAACATCTATTATATTTGCATATGAACATGTGACAACGTCATTCCCGCATAGTGAGGGATTGGTCATAAGAAAACCGCATGGAGCTGAAAACTTAACCATTTAGCACTTTTTCCAATCAACGAAGACATTGGTCGGTCGCTATGCTCTGCACCCTGAAGTTCACTAGTAAATAAAACTACTCTGTCAATAAACAAATATCGCCATTCATTATTGTTAAATCAGCAGTATACCAGCTGACGGTTCTTTGTTTATTCAAATATAGCATTCATTTCTGTAAAAGATTAGGTCAATCTAGCATATTGACTTTAAGGGACCATTCCCACATATATTTGTATCGATCTATCTCCCTGGGGAGTATCACTAAATTGCTATCAAACTAACCGGCTTAAACGTATGTCACGCTTAGTAAAACTGTGAGGGGGCAATTATCTTTACCCCTAGCTGATTCGGTAGGCGTGACAGACATTTAAACCTCTTGAGCTGATAGCAACTTAGCGTGAACCCCCAGGGAGTTAGGTCGATCCAGATGGATTGATCTAAATATGGGAACCCAGTCTAAGTGTTTGTGAACCACACAATATATCAATTAAGGTATTTGGTCATTATACCTCTTTCTCATTCATAAATAGTTAAGGCGCTGATGTTAACACACTCTATTGTCGACCGTAGTAGCCCAACATGTAGGCTTGAATTTACTATTTGTATACCCGCTTATTGAAACAAACTTCAGTGCAAGAGCACTGTAACATGTAGGAAGAGATGCAACAAAAACTCAAACTATACAAGATATGATTTTCAAAAACAAAAAAAAAATGATGTAATAAAAAATCTAAATACACATAAAAATATATAGGGCTTTAAAAATGTAAAAAAAAAACAATTGAAAAGGCATTGTAGCCATAGTTACCCCAAAAAAGATGTAAACAAATAAACAAACAATCCGCCCGTCAATCCACGCGCGGGTGGTAACCGTCCGTTGATTTCTTACTTTTATCTCTCATTGTGGCTTCAAATTACAGAAATCCTCGGCAATGCTCAATGAAGTCCACAAAATTGACCTTCCGCCTGTCGTCACATTACATTGTGCCTTCATATTTCAGAGATACTCTGTCAACCACTACAAAAACCTCAAAATGGAGTTTTTTCTGTAAGGCAGTGTATGTCCCAGCCCTCGGTCAGAATGATATGCGCAGTAATATGCTATCCCGGTTACGTAGTACAAGGGCAGGCCAGTGTGGTCTGTAAAAATGATGGAACGTGGAGCGGTACACCTGGATATTGCAGAGGTAATGAACATCAAATTCCCCATTCTGCTCTCTTCTGGTGCTTTTACATTCAAATTGGGGCGACCTAATTAAGACTTGCAATAGCAAATTGAGTGATAACATTATCTAAGCATGGGGAGTCGTTCTTAATTCATTCAAGTAATCCAAACCATATAGTTTTTTTTTTCTTTTTTTACTGGCCAGATGTACACACATTATTTGTTTTGTTGAGGGATAAAAAATCCTGACGTAATATTAAAGTCAGCAATCACTACCGAGTACCGTTGAATTAAAATCTTCAAAATAATTTCTTTTCAATTGATCGACGCCATTCTAATACATATTTCACCAGTCGTTATTATCAATTATATTATACAGATAACCAAAGTCCCATCATTAGACACGAAACAAGTAACATAATTGTCAACGCTGCTTTGGACAGTAATCAAGCGGTTGTAAATTGGGAACAAGACAAGCCAAGAGTGATAGACAACTCCAGAAAGGTGCCAAGTGTGAGACTTTACATAGGCGGACGAGAAATAAAAGGTAATAGCCAATAACGCAACTGGACCTTTATGACATTGTTCCCGCCATACCGACGGGTTGATTCTTGAAAGCTTTATTTGTTGTTATGTTTCTTGCAATTACTCAATTTAAAGTTAAAAATATTACAAATTGTTATAAATTGCTCCATTTTTTTAATGCTAACTGAATCCATTGTAAAGACCGAAATTACTTTAGTTTTTTCAATATGTTCAATAAACAATTGATCTACCAGGGAAGTGATTTATTTATATTCTCTAAACTTTCCCTTATCTTTTTTAGGATTTCACTTAGATATATCTTTTTTTAAAGTTGTCTATCTGGGACCTCTGTAAATCGTTTTAGGTATGCTGATGTTTGTTTAAGTACACTTTGTTTAAGTGTACTAAGTGGAAGTCTGCCAAATTCCGCTTTGGCTGCTATGTTACTGCTGTTATGTTGAATTCCCAGTAGTGATTTGCAGAATTTGTTGTGGACATGTTCAAAAGGGAATGTGTTCATAGATTTGATAGAGTTAAGGTTTTTAGCAATGAGAGTAGGTCCCCAAATTTCATAGCCATATAGAAGGATGGGTTTGATTAATGTATAGAACAGTTTCAGTTTAAGGCGAATAAGACTTCTTGCCGTGGAGGATAATGTTTGATTAATCATGAAGTTAGCTTTCATTGCTTTGCCTTTAACGTCATTGAGTGCACTTTTGAATGATCCACTAGACTTCAGTTTGTTTCCCAAGTATGTGTATTCATTGGTGACTTCCAAGATCTCACTATTTATATTGAAGTTGATTTTGGGGGTTTTGCCAGACTTGTTAAATACCATAATTTTAGTTTTCTTTGGTTAACTGAAAGTTTCCACTTTTTACAATATCTACCCAGGTTGTCAAGTCCTGTTTGTAATCCTTCTGCTGATTTGGATAAAATTACTAAGTCATCTGCGTATAGTAGGTGACTGATGCTGATGTCATTCAGTGTGACTGGGTGACAGGATTCTGTAAAAATATCCTTGATATCATCTATATAGATATTAAAGAGCATGGGACTTAGACCATCACCCTGCTTGATGCCTTTTTCGGGTTTAAAGTGGTCTGTGAATCCTTGGCCTATTTTTACACTTAGTGTAGTGGTTTGATACATATGTTTAATTGTTCGATAAAAGTTACCACCTATGTTCTGTTTGAGAATTTTATATAGCATTCCTTCTATCCATACACTATCAAATGCAAACGAAAGTCAACAAAGCATGTAAATAATTTTGAGTTTTTACTTAGATAACGATTGACCAGACTGTTAAGGATGAATATATTGTCTGTTGTTCTGTGTTTTGGGCGGAAGCCTGCTTGTTCGTCACTAAGTAATTTTGTTTCTTCTATAAAAGATAGTAACCTGCAGTTTAATAGAGATGTAAATAGTTTTTTAAGACGGCTACTTACACAGACCCCCCCCCCCCTGTAGTTATCTGGAGACATGGGGTCACCTGATTTGAAAATAGGTTTAAGTAGGCCTTGGTTCCATTGCTTTGGGAATATACCACTGTTTAGTATTAGGTTAAATAGTTTAGCAAGTGACTTAGCTATGTAGGGACTGGATGATTTTATAATTTTATTCGATATTGTATCAATTCCACATGATTTTCTATTTTTCAACTTTATGGTGCCTGTTTTTATCACTTTGATTGTAAATGGATAGTCAAGTTGTTTGTTGTGGATCTCATCTATGTTCATTTCTAGACGGTGAAGTTTTTCTATGAGAGTTCTGTCATTATTTTTGGTGTTGTTCTTTCCAAGAATGTTGGTCGCTCATATTGAATCTGTTAGTCTGCAGATCAACTTGTTATGAAGGCCCTCAAAGAACAATCTGCCACTTGCACTGAAACCATGCAGAAACAGATGGCTGTTCTTAAAACATCAACATAGTGCCTTTCTTGGGTTCTCCAAAAGAGGTAGAGAAAAAATATCTTTTTTTTTTCGAGATTACGTTAAAAGCAAAATCACTGTCTTTATAGGTGGGGGCTATGAACATACTTTCAAGATAGGTTTAACCACGGTGAAATACGTGTTTACAGATGACAGCGGTAATAGCGCCGATTTCTTCTTCAGAGTGGAAGTCCGAGGTACGTATGAAATAAGGTTCTATATTCGTTCTTTCTGTGGACACTGAGAGTTGTTTAAACAATTATAAGCACATCGTTTTACCAGAGGGGTCATGTCGATTATCCCCCCAACCGATAAGTCCCCATACCGATACTCTCGTGCACCGTTACTCCCCCCGCACCGCTTCTCCCTCCTTTTAAAATTTTGCATTATGCGCATCGATACGATCCAACACGGACATATTCCCGGATCGAGACATTTCATATAAAATTACCGTTATACGCGCACCCTACACCGGTATTCCACCGGATATTTGCTTCCCCGCATCTTCACTCCCCTCATTACTCTCTTTATGCAATTTTCTTTAACCGATATGTTACTAATCGTTATTATATATAAAATTATATTAAAATAGGCCATATACATTTGGTAAGTAGGCTAGTTACAAGCGGGGAGCGATTTGGAACATAAAATTATTTGTCATCAATGTAAAAGTGATCTGTCCCGCACCAGTGATTGTAAAATTCATTTTTAACATCTTTATCAAACATCGCTTATCTTTGTCAGCGACAGTGAGTTATTTATCTTCGCGATCAGTCAAAACAGACTTTGAATAAACTAGATTAATAAAAAATAAAATGGTGTGAAATCTATATACCATAACATCTACTGAAGAAAAAAATGAAGTATACAGATATTTCTCTAAAGTCACAAAGCCGAGCTGCAAACAAAGTCTAACGTGAAAGATCAACTATATTCTAAGTTTCAAAGATGACCAGTTTTAGTGTTTGTTTCCTTATTTTCTCACACTGTTTCGAATAAATCACTTTTGGGTCCCAAGAGGGTGGGGCACTTTTGACAAAATAGTAAAAGAGAAAGTTTTCTAACCAATCGCTTTCGGTGTCGCATTTTTAACCAAAGCCAAGGGAATTTATGTTTAAGGGAGTAACGATGTCGGGAATTAATGGCGGACTACAGGATCAGTGGGGGAGAGTATCGGTGTTGGGACGAAAAAAGGGGGGGGTGTCCAGGGTAGTATTGTTGCGGGGGAGTATCGTTGCGGGTGGTAACGGTTCGGGGACGTATAGGGATGAAGCCTTGCCAAATACCTTTATGGGAGAAAAGGGGGGGGGGAAGAGGGGTTTCCGATAATTTTATCATGAATGTGACCTTTTTAGACCTATTTAGTTATACAGTCCCTTATTTGGGGTCAGATAATGGTAGTACGTCCTGGATCAAGCAAGTGAAGTTTTGGTGATCTGCAGCTACTGTTATTTCCGAACCGGAATCATCACTACTATACGTGTATTATCCTCACGTTTGATTAGAAAAGGGACCTACGTGTTTAGTTTCACATCACACAAGACTGGAATATAATTTTTAAGAAGGGTATAGACTGTTAACAGGAAAGGATGGACATACAGGGTTACTATACTTAATATGGAATGTTTTTTATCATTGTTATTTTTGAGTGCTGATTAAAAATTTCTTGTCTTGATTCATCAAAAAAGTATGTCAAGGGGTGATAAAAAATATCCAGTCTTCTGTTGTGAGATATTTTGGTCAATAATATCAAATCTGACATAAGATGTCATTCAAAACAAAAGAACACCCCCAGAAAACCATATCAACAGTTTGATGTCAGTATTAATTTAAAGCCAAGATATTAAAGAAAATGATAGCCTCCGGACAGTGATATGTTACACTGTCAAAGAACTCATTTTAGCATGAAAAGTCATCAATAGCAGGTATGACCTCCAGCAGCCGCTTGCAGCGCCCTCATCCTATACGGCATACCCTGTGACAAGTTTTATAGAGTTTGGATGGGGATATCTTTCCACGCAGTGATATTTGCCTGTCGCAGTTCATTACTATTTACCGCCCGATGACCACAGCTATTAATTCTGTGAGTTACTTCCACCCACAGATTTTCAATTGGGTTTATATCTGGGGAGTTTGCATGCCAGGGCAGTTGCTGAACCCATTGGTTTCGAAGAAAAACAGTGATTCTGCGAGCTCGATGTGGGGTTGCGCAGTCGTCTTGGTACACAAGGTTGTTCCTGAAGATGACTCTTACAAATCGAAGCATTGTTTGCTGTAGAATGTCTCTGTAGGAACCCTGGTTGAGGTTGCCTCCTAGAAAAACCAACTGGTTCTGGGCAAGGGCATGAAATGCTCCCCAAACAGAGATGTTACCACCCCCTGCTTGCACCCTACGCAGTACACAATCATCGTCTTATGCCTCTCGTACACGTCGGAGGACACGGATTCGACCTTCAACCCTAAAAAACTCCATACCTGGCCTCATCACCAAAAACGACGTGATTCCAGTGTTTTGGCTGCAAAGGCACGCGGTCACCAGCCCATTGCACCATAACCCGCTTTTAACAGTGGTTTCCCTACTGGTCTTCGTGCAAAATAACCGGCTTGCAGTAATCTCTTGTTCACAAGGGACCTTGAAACGGGCGTCTGAATGATATTCTGCCACTGTTTTCTGGGGATACTGGTTGTCTTTGTACGACCAGCATGGCGCACTCTAAGGAGAAGGCGATCCTGTCTTCTTGGTGTGATACGCGGACAACCTGGTCGAGGTATTGGAGTAGGTGCCCCTGTTGTAGCATTTCTTTGGAGGACTTTACTAACGGTTCCTGATAAATGTTGCATTGCCTGGCAATGGCTGCCCGTTTCTGGCCATTTTCTCTGAGAGCAAGAATCCCATAGTAAGCTGCGTTGCAAAGCTGTCGAACCATATCTTCTCTAAGGTACCTGTCAAGTTTCAGAGCGATCCCTTTGTTGCTTCTCTAAATACACTCTAAAGATTGGCCAAACCCATGCGTTTTTATACAAGGGCAGAAATTGCCGAAAAGACCACCATTCACATTACTGACCACAGAACGTGCAACTGCATGCACCAATTGTTTCGAGAGTTGTGTGGTAATTAGGTAACACACCTGGCTACACATGGAGTGACACCTCAGTTTTGGATTTAAAGTAGTTAGAGAGATTATAAATATTTTGAAGAAAATTAACTCGCCAAAAAATAATATTCCATATTAAGTAGTAACCCTGTATGTTAAAGTGCTTGTCATCACATCACGTGACCTCCATAGATGGTTACACTCTGTAATAATCTCTGTAGAGAATATTACAAAAAAAACTTTTTAGAAAAAAACTCTATTTTGTGTCTTTGAGTGTGGGAATGGATTCATATTGGAAAGTACGGGGAAATTGTCCTTTACCCCAGGAAAATTCATTTTTGGCCAAAATAAACAGTTGTTATCCCTTTAAAGTAATTTAATACAATCATTTCCCTTTCGCTTATTACTCCCCATGAAGATGTCCAGCCACCGACCATAACTTGCCCCAAAGTTGACCCAGTGGTGTCTCCGGACAGAGAGGTCGACGTGTCCTGGGTCCAGCCGACAGTAACGGACAACAGTGGCAAACCCGTGAGGGTGATCAGCAATATGAGTCCAGGGAAGTTATACAGGGGGCGGTACAAGGTAGTCTACGAAGCCAGAGATGAAGCTGGAAACCGCGCAAGTTGCTCTTTCACGCTTCATGTAAGACGTGAGTGATCACCGTTTGTGTCAACTGCTTACGAAAGCATACTTTGTCTTATTCAGAAACTAATTAATGTTTTCAACTTCAAGATCATATTTCATATAGATCTTATATTAATTATGTGAAAATACCATTGTTCAAATGCACTAACTTTGGAAACCTGCTCATTTCAGCCCCCAAGTGCCCTGATCTCCACACACCTATCAACGGAGCTGTCAGCTGTGACACTTTTGGGTTTGGAATGTTCTGTACACTCCAGTGCCAAAACCCGTACGATTTCGACTTGCCAGCCGGCATGACGTCCGTGCCAAACTACTACGCGTGTGGAGGGGGTGGAAGGTGGTTTCCATCCACTCAAGTGCCCGACTGCACTCGTAAGTGCCAGTTTTTGATGTATTCAAGTCAAGGAAATAGTGTGTGTGTGTGTGTGTGTGTGTGTGTGTGTGTGTGTGCGCGCGCGCGCGCAAGAAAAGTGACCTGCAAATATTTATCAGTTTATCGTTTGAAATACACTGAATAGCATCATTATCTATTCAAAAAGTGTACATGTATTATATTATATATTCAAAGTACTCATTACATGTTATAGGATACCAGAATCCAAATGGAAGCTTCGTTCGGACCTTATACTACGATAATGAATGCCCGGATCCTAGGGCCCAGAAGCAAATCAAAGAAAATGGTGTGAGCTCTTTCAAAATGTCGCCTTTTGGTTCGTCATGTAATTGCGGCCTCACAGTCGATGACTTCAGAGTCATCTGCGGTGCCACCAACACCAGTGCTGTGCGTGCACCAGGTACGAGGTAAAACGTCCATTGGCGTTCCTTTAATCAGAGGAAAAAGTGTACAGTTACACTTGAGAGAAGATACGGCTATGTGATGTTTCCACAATGAAATCTCGCTCTCTCGGTAATTGGTGCTAACGGTACAGGGGATATCTGTCTTCTTTTAAACATGTGGTTGTGTATGTACTGCATGTTAGTCCAGGGGCGGATCCAGGATTATTTGAAGAAGGGGGGGGGGGGGTTCGGAACGACAGGCCTCAGATGCGCAGCCGACAGTCGCCCCCTTGATGTAGGGTAACAGTGCCCTTTGCTACGGTTTAGAACTATGATTTAGCTAGTCAAAATTCTAATTTCAAGAGGGGAATATTGGTGTGTCATGTTTTTCAGAAACCGAGGGGGGGGGGGTCAGGACCCCTCCTGAACCCCCCCCCCCCCTCTTAATACGCCAATGAAGTCGATGATAATAAGAAGAAAAATGATAAAAAATAAGAATAATATTATGAAGGACGGTTAATGATGAAAACCGGGGCAGCTCACAAACACAGATATTCAAAAAAAGGTTCTATAATAATAATAATTATTATTATTATAAGCTTAAGAAAAACAACATAATACTTTGTTTTCATTTATTTTTCATTTTTTTCATAAGTATGACATTTTGGATGTACGCTTCCCATGTAAAAACCTACGTTTTTACATTTTATATTTTATATGTTATATGTTTTGAAATAATATTATATGTAAGTCCTCAAAATGATGGATCGCTTATTGTGTCTTCACGTAATTTAGACTGACTTCCCATACCTACACACACTGGACAATAGAAGTGTCACTCCCTAAATCAGAGTAAGAAAAGTAGACAGATCTTGGGTAGTTATAATGCCTAATGTAACTTCGAAAGTTTTTTGACATGACAAAAACATTCGGGGTGCCACAAAAATGGGTAAAAATATTTAGAATGCACTCGGAATTTTTAGAATGCTCTTCGAATATCCACGAGCGCACAAAGAACACAAATCCGACGGCATTCTTGCTCATTCCGCCTCTAGTGTGACGGGGGTATAAGCAAAAACAATATGTGCAATATATAATAGTCCACTGAGAGAAGGGTATGTCCCAGAAGTGCGGCGATCAGCTGATGTTGTGCCCATACCAAAAGCCCCCCCCCCCTAATCAGTTGAGGACGATCTCAGGCCCATCTCCTTGACGCCAGTGCTAGCCAAGCATATGGAGTTCACTGTAGGTGAATGGGCAAAATGTGGAATCATTCTTGGACAAGTTCCAGTTTGGTGGGGTCAAAAGATCTGGAACAACTCATGCTTTGGTAGATATCATGCACCACTGGTTTATGGCAACTGAAGCTGGCAACGTCGATAGAGTTCATATGATTGATTATTCTAAAGCTTTCGATCACGTTGATCATCACCTGCTCATCAATAAACTAAAAACCATAGGCTTACATAATGTGATTGTTCGCTGGATTGCCGCTTTCCTAACTAAAAGACGACAGCGAGTCAAACTGATCTTGAATATGACGCTGCTTGTGAACATAGTAAACTTAAACTACTGAGTGAAAGACGGCTCAATGCATGCAAAAAAATTGTTTATTAGGATATCAAATGAACCGAATCATAGATTGCATTATCTTTTACAACCAAAACAAAATGTCAAATATTCATTAAGGAAACAGGAGACATTCAAAAGACCTAAAATTAAAACCAAACGATCAATGAGTGACTTTTTAACTGATAGACTTTTATTTTATTTTTAACCTTGCATTTTAGTTTATTTGTCTTAAAATTGTTTACATATGTATTTTAATATTCCTTTATTCTTATTAACTATTGGTTTTGTTCAACTATGAGCAATAATTGTAATTATCCAACCCTCGGGGTGCAAGTTTGGTAATAATAATAATAATAATAAATGTCTTTTTTTTTTAACTAGCTAGAGGTACGTACTCTTTTTGTATTGAGTAGGAGTACAAAATACTGCCGTAATGTGAAAGTCAGCAAGCACTGCCCAGTGCCATTGAATTTAACCCTTATTGCGGTAGGACTTTGAACTACATAGGCCTACTTAACTAAAATATTCCAAAGAATTTCTTTTCAATTGATCGACACTTTTTTATTACATATTTCATCTGCCATAATTATCAATTATATGATACAGATAACCAAAGTCCCATCATTAGTCACCAAACAAGTGACATAACTGTCAACGCAGCTTTGGACAGTAATCAAGCGGTTGTAAATTGGGAACAAGACAAGCCAAGAGTGACAGACAACTCCGGAAAGGTTCCAAGTGTGAGACTTTACATAAGCGGACGAGAAATAAAAGGTAATAGCCAATAACGCGACTTGACCTTAATGACATTGTTCCGCCATGGTAGATTCTTGAAAACTTTATTTGTCGTTATGTATCTTGCAATTACTCATTTTAAATATAAAAAAATCTCTTTCTTATAAATTGCTCCATTTTTCCATGCTACCTGAATCCGTTGTAAAGATTTTCCAATACATTAAATAAACAATTGCTCTACCAGAGAAGTGACGAATATAATATACTCTAAGCTGTTCCTTTTATCGTAGTAAAGGATGTAATAATCTAGTATCGGGTCACGGTAGAGAGTGAGAAAGAAAGACGCAGTATATGAAAATGATGACTTGGGATTGGCTGACCTTAATTCTCAAAAAAGGCCAATCGTTAACTCTGCCACTTACACTGAAGTCATGCAGAAACAAATGACTGTTCGCGAAACCCCAATATAGTGCATTTCTCGGGTTCTTAAAAGAAGTGGCGGCCGAAGTTGAGAGAAAAAAAGTCAGATTTTTTTTTACTTAAGTCATATACAAAATCACTGTCTTTATAGGTGGGGGCTATGAACATACTTTCAAGATAGGTGTAACCACAGTGAAATACGTGTTTACAGATGACAGTGGTAACAGCGCCGATTTCATCTTCAGAGTGGACGTCCGAGGTATGTATATAATTTGGCACTTTCTGTGTGCATAGATAGTTGTTTATACAATTATAAGCACATCGTTTTACCAAAGGGGTCATGTCGATCCCCCCCAACCAATAAGTCCCTACACCGATACTCCCGTGCACCGTTACAGCTGAGCTCCCCTGAACCGCTTCTCCCTCCTTGTACTTTTTTTTTGCATTATGCGCATCAATACGATCCAACACTGACAGATCCGGCATGTTTGCTTCCCCGCGTCTTTTCTCCCATTCGCCGTTGCTCCACCTGTGCAATTTTCATAATACCGATATGTTACTAATCGTTATTACATTAAAAATAAGGCCATATAAATTTGAAGAAGTCGGCTTACAAGCGAGGGAGCGAATTGGAAAATAATTATTTTTTCATTTATGTGTAGGTGATCTGTCTCGCACAAGTGATTGTAAAGTTTAGTTTTAACATAGTTATCACTCATTGCTAATCTTCAACGACAGGTTATAGCAATATCCTTTATTTTGACTTGCTTAACCAGGCTGGACGTGGCACAGTTACATAAAGGTGGTACAAAACAAAAGATTTGTGCTGTTCGTTTTTGGTTTCTTCATAATGATCTCGTCGCAAACGGTGGCAGTGTGCACCGCCGTATGTGTTATATGAGTCAGGATGCAGGAATCGTGGTCTGCTAACTATGGTGACTGAGTGTGCCAGCATACTGTTTGAATTCCCCATTCATTTGTTCTACATACTGAACCCGATACCTGGATTAATCATAAGGGTCCCAGGATTTAACATTATTCCACTTGATTTGAATGATTTATGGTCTTACATTAAGCCGTAATTTTTTCGTCCTAGATTTTTAAATCAAATAGAATCTTTATAAATTGTTATTACAGAGGAATTAACATGTTAAGTGGTTCCTAGAATCGCCCAAAGATAGTGCAAATAGTAAAACCTTTCGACGAAGAGAAAGGCGAATGGATGAAGCCTTACCAAATACCTGAATGGGAAAAAAGGGGGGAAAGAGGGGTTTCCTTTCATTTTATCATGAATGTAACGTATTTACACGTTATTTAATTATGCAGTCCCTTATTGTGGGGACAGAGAATGGTAGAAGGTCCAGAATCTAGCAAGTGAAGTTTAGGTGATCTGCAGCTACTGTTATTTCCAAACAGGAAGCATCACTATACTAGAGCATGTATTGGCCCAATGTTTCCTTACAAAAGGGGCCTACGAGTTTAGTTTCATATCCCATAAGCTTGGAATATAATTGTTTAACACAGGTACATGTATAATCCATTCACAAGAAAGGATTTCAATGGACATATGTTAAAGTAATACATAAAATTCCCTTGTGCTTTTTACCCCCCATGAAGATGTCCAGCCACCGACCATAACCTGCCCCAAAGTTGACCCAGTGGTGTCTACGAACAGAGAGGTCGACGTGTCCTGGGTCCAGCCGACGGTAACGGACAACAGTGGTAAACCCGTGACGGTGATCAGCAATTTTAGTCCAGGGAAGTTTTACTGGGGGCGGTACAAGGTAGTCTACGACGCCAGAGATGAAGCTGGAAACCGCGCAAGTTGCTCTTTCACGCTTAACGTAGAACGTGAGTATTCACTGTTTGTGTATCAACTGCTTACGAAAACATAATTGTCTTATGCAGAAATGAATTAATGTTTTCAACTTCAAGATCCTTATATTAGTATACTGGTAGATTGTAAGTGTTAGCATATATCGCTTGGGACACTCTATTTGATCCGTGATACATGTGCATTATTAACAGTCAGTACAGGTATTATGCTTGGTGATGACAGTATCGGTCATTTTTATGTTTTCCCAGACCTCATATCCCTAAAAATCAGGACATATTTCATATATATCACATTTATGTGATAATACCATTGATCAAATAAACTAACTTCGAAAACTTGCTCAATTCAGCCCCCAAGTGCCCTGATCTCCACACACCTATCAACGGAGCTCTCAGCTGTGACACTTTTGGGTTCGGAATGTTCTGTACACTTCAGTGCCAAAACCCGTACGATTTCGACTTGCCAACCGGCATGACGTCCGTGCCAAACTACTACGTGTGTGGAGGGGGTGGAAGGTGGGCTCCAACAACTCAAGTGCCCGACTGCACTCGTAAGTGCTGGTTTTTAATGCATTCAAGTCAAGGAAATAATGTTTCGTGTGTGTACATGTAAAGTGATTGCAATCGTTTGTCAGTAGTTACAACTATGTCATAACGTTTGTAATACACGGAATAGCATCATTATAAATCCAAATAATTTATCTGTAATGTATTAAGGTATATCTTCAAAGTACTCTTTACATGTTACAGGATACCAGAATCGAAATGAGTACCTCGTTCGGACCTTATACTACGATTATAAATGCCCGGATCCTAGGGCCCAGAAGCAAATCAAAGAAAATACTGTGAGCATTTTCCAAGAGACGCCATTTGGTTGGTTATGTAATTGCAACGTCACAGTCGAAAACTTCAGAGTCATCTGCGGTGCCACCAACACCAGTGCTGTGCGTGGAACACCAGGTACGAGGTAAAAGGTCCATTGGCGTTCCTTTACTCAGAGGAACGTCTCTTGGAAAAGTAAGAAGTAACATTTGAGGGAAGATAACGGCTATGTGATATTTCCGCATTGAAATCTCGCTCTCAGTGCTTATGGTACAGGGGATACCTGTGTTCTATTAAACATGTGATTTTGCATGAACAGCATGTTAGTCAAGGATAATAAGAAGAAAAAGGGATAAAATGAACATGTTAACGATAAGAAGAAGGATTATTAATGATCAAAACCGGGGTAGCTCACAAACACAGATATTCAACAATAATTATAATAATTATTATAATTACCTACATTCCAGCATGATGCTTTTTTTTTCTTTGAAAACATAAGTATGACATGTTGGTTGTATATTAACCATATAAAATTCCACGGGAATGTTTTTATATTTGATTTTCTTTGTTTGGGGAGGAGAGTATTACAGGGAGCAGGGTGGATATTTGCACTTGTATTTGATTTTTGGTACAATTTTCAAGTAAATGACTTAGTTCTACGCGGATTATGATCCATTTAGACCGTTATCTGTGTTACTTACAATTAAAAAAGAAACGGCAACACGGGTAATTTCATTTGAGGGGTTTATATAAAAGTTTTTCTTTATATTTATTTATTTAATTCGACAAGTTTGAATTGGGAAAGCTAAGTAGCTATGCAGGATATCTAGTCTGAAACTAACGCAGTTTCAATATTATAAACAAGACACATCTAATGTAAAAGATTGTTCGTCTTCATCCAACTTGAAAAACATCGCCACCTTTGTCAAAACAAGCCTGAGAATAGAAATAGGTCTATATTTATATACTTTGTGTCATAGAGAAAGTCAAGTAAAATTTAAAAAATACGATTGAATATGTTTTCTTAGTTTTACCATAACTACAGAACATATTTGTATGTATTCTAGACTATAAATAAATGTATTATTATTATTACATTACTTTGTGTTTTCAAAAGTGCGTTTTCCCATCTTTATTTCAGGTTCCAAGTAAAGCCATGCATACTGGAAGAAGAGTGTGTCGGGGTGATTGACAACTTTGCTGGTCGAATACAAACTTGTTTTCGGCTAAACTTCGGCCATTTAGAACACGTGCTGTAAAAATTCATTAACTGAGCTACAGGCATCAAATCAGTGCTTTTCTAATTGTTATTATTTCGGCTTCAGGTACATGTAATCCTGTCTCAGTTTCTTTCCTCAATAATATATCATCCTTATATTAATCGGTCCCACGTGTTTTGAGACACCCTGTACTTATTCTTCACAGTTTAACCCGACATACGTTGACAATTTCTTTGACAATAATCCGGTGGACGAATAATATACTGCAACACCAATCATCACGAAGTGGTAGTAGTTTATGCTTGATATTTGGTTGTAAAAATCCCGAGTGTTTTCACTACAACAAGTTACGTGCACTACTTTGCATTTCCTTTCGTGAATAAAGCACTACTTATTTTCGTTAAGACTTCGTTAAGTTTTTTGTTAGTGTCTGTACCATAAAGGATAAGCGACATACCATCAGAATGGCTTGAACGAGCTTATCCTCCAAAAGCATGCCCAACTTTATCAAAATACACAAATCACAAGTTCATTATGTAAATATCTAGCTTCTTTAAAAATGCGTTTTTTTCAATAGGTCGGGAAGTTGATGTGGTCGGGTGGCTCCAAAGTAGCTGATTCCGTCTGAAAGGGGAGGGAGCCAGCACGTTAAGCTTTCAAACAGAGCTGTCATAATCTACCTGTAAATCCTCGTAAAGCTATTTTCCTGTCTAATTAATTATTTAACTAGCATTTAATAACGACTATCCCAACTGGGACAAAGTCATGCAGTCGAATGACTTGAGCGCATCTTAACAATATTCGGGATGGAAGACATGTATAATTGTGGAACTCGAAATTTCCCCATAAAAATTTGAACAATGGAGTCCATAGAGTCTGAAAGTAACGACAACAGTTGACATATTTTAATTATATTTTATCCTAAAAGACAAATCTGAGTCTGACATGAGGGATTTCTCGCAATAACCCAGGGAGACCGTACAAAAACTTCCTTTTGCTCTCAAAATAAATATTTTCAAATACTTTGGAAAGAAACGCACTGTTTTCCTTTTTTCTTTTTAGTTTGCTGTAATCAAATACTTCATATATTTAATGATAAAAAATCAAATCGAACACCAAGAAATTCGTTTAGTTGGCAACTGTAACGTAATATTAAAAATAAAAAACGTAAGGGATATGATGATTTTTATTAATAGGAGAGGTCAAAGAAGTGAATATTTTGCCCCATTTATTGGCAATCGTGAAAATTGATTTTCATACAAGTTAACCATATTTTAAAAGATTATTTACCAGTTTGAGAGCTGGTAACCGTTTTAAATAGTGATCAAAATTTAACAACAGCATGTAGGACTATAGGTGGGGCAACCTTTTTGACCAAGAGTGTATTTAAAAAATGATATGGTGATTTACCAGTTTTTGAGTTTTTGAGAGCTGTTAACCGTTTTAAATAGTGATCAAATGTAAACAACAGCATGTAGGACTATAGGTGGGGCAACCTTTTTGACCAAGAGTGTATTTAAAAAATGATATGGTGAAAGATTTGTTTGCTTTGTTTATGCGCATTCACTTACTGCACTGTATCTGGTGGGAAGACGCAGGATGAGAGGGGACCTTAGAATCTAAATGGGGGGAGGGGGGCTGTTGCCACCCCCCCCCCCCCGGCCCCTGTTGAATTGACACTATATAGTCCAGATAACTCACGTATTAAGAACTCATATGTTTTTTGTTTGCAATGAATCAACAGATGATCTGATGGTAACGTCGGGAAAGAACAATAACGTAACTGATATGTGCTACATAAATCAGTCAAGGGCCAGATAACGTGCACTTCATTAAGTAGTCCTCAAGAGTACATTCCAATAGGAAGATAATACAAGGGGTTCAACTTTCAGTACTTTGTAATTTCGAAAAGTAATATAACCAAAAGCAATTTTTGGCTATAAAAAGCATAACTTTTCATTGGACCGTTTATTAGATTAATTACAATTGCGTTGATATAGTAAGAAGAGTGATACCGTGGAACCAAACCTTTGACATAACAATATAAAAATAAATAAATTAACGGTAGGAATGTCATTTGACATGAAAGAATCTGTGATGACGATGTATAATCAACAATGCTGTTAATTTTCAAGCTGGTTAATGTATCATAAAACAAGCTATTGTTGCCCCCATTTACTGGCCACTTGTACTTCCAATTACACAATATGTTGTGCATGCTATCACAATTGGCATGATACAGTCTCTTAACATATTATTCATAGTCACTGTCACCTCTCAAGTTCAGATATCACGTGCTAGACTATAAAGGAGACTGGGCGCTCTATATACCTCACATGTAATTGTTCCACTATTGACTGGATGTCTTTCCAATGCCATGATGTGACAATATGGCCGAGGCATTGGCAGCGGCCTTCACGGATAACATTTTGACATGTAGCATCTGTCTGGAAGAGTATGAGGACCCCCGCTTGCTGCCATGCTACCATACATTTTGCCTTGCTTGCATATCTGACCATGCCAAGGGAACTCTCACTACAAAGAGGACATTTCAGTGCCCTGTTTGCCGAGAAGACGTCCAGTTTCCACCAGGTGGACTTTCTGAATTAAAAAAGAATTTTGCCTTTTGTAAGGCCAAGGACATAATAAACCAGCAACAAATAGAAAGAGAGGCATCAGAAAATGTAAAGAGTAATGTGGAAGCAGTGACACAGGCCGTTGCACAATTGTCCATCGGTTGTGAGAAACATCCTGGTAATGAACTCAAATACTACTGTGAAGATGATGATACCGTTGTTTGTGCTGACTGTGCATTAGCAGATCATTACAGGCATGGTATTTTACCTGTAGAAGAAGTTGCAAAAAGCAATAGAGAAAAAATTGAAAATGCCCTTGTTAAAACGCTGGCAAAAATTAACGTATTTAAAGAGGCAGTCGCCGAGGAAACAACCAATGAATGTGAGGACTCTCGTATCAGGACAGCCACTATCAACACCATTGAGAGACAAACGCAGCATATCTGTACATTAATTAATGAGAGGAAAGAGACACTGATATCAGAAGTTAATTCTGCTTATGATCTTAGAATGACGCAAAGAGAGGTTAACAAGGACAACCTTGAACTCCACCATGCCTCCTTGCAAAGTGTCTGTGACTTTGCCCAACAACTTGTCGCAAATGGCACCGACTCTGATATCATGGTTCATGCAAAGTCTCTCACAAATAAACTGACAACAATGGAAAACATACCAGTACCAACACCAGACACAACTGCAGAGATTTCTTATAGTCCTGGTGAGATATCTACTGCTGGACTGGAAGCCATGTAGGGCAGGTGAAAGTACAGTCAAACCCCCCATCAGCTAGGCAGGGAACACATCCAAAATCAAGACCCAGTCTTCCCGTTTTCTTAGAGAAGGCAGAATGTGTACATTCCTTCACTGTTAAACTGAAATTTGAAAAGGAAAATGTTATCATATGGGGGTTAGCCACAGATGAGCAATATATATATGCTACGGGTTATAGAAATGACATAATAATAGTATTCACACATGCAGGTCACTTCATGTTTGGCATAAAATTAAAGAAACCTTTTGATGTAGCTGTGTCACAGACTGGTCGCATGTATATAACATCAATAGGTGACAGATGTGTCAAAGTGTACTCAACCAAAGGTAAACCGGTGACAACCATGGGTCAGGGTCAACTGGAAAAACCAAGTTGTATCACAATGAATAGACAAGGTAATGTGATGATTTTTGATGTGGAAAAAGAATCTATCCTCACATTCCACGCAGGCAGTGGGCATCTCCTGAACACTATTCGACTCACTATGTGTAAATCCCCCACTTTCATCACAGTGAACAGTGCTAACGATAACATTGTGATATCAGACTTGGGCAACTGTGTACATGTGCTGTCACCTACTGGTGATCAGCTGTACCAGTATGGCACAGAGGGCAGTGGTGTTGGCCAGAGTTTACCAGGTGGAGTGTGCACAGACAGCTATGGTCACATCTTCATTGCTGATGGTCGTAACCATAGGATTGTAGCACTGAGTCCACAAGGACAGTTAATCAAATACATTGCCACTGAGGATGATGGGTTGAAACACCCCATGGCATTAGCTATTAACCCTGCTGGCCTGCTGGTGGTGGCAGAGAGAAGGGGTATAGTTAAGACATTCCTGTACTTACAATAGATACACTTCACACAAAATGCTAAGTACACTGACAATGATGGTATGCCGTTTAGAACAAGAATCAAGACTGCTGGTGGTAGCAGAGTCAAAGAATAATTAATTTCAGGTATTTTAGAATTTACAATTATAGCATTGCTCATCTATTGTGCACTGATAACATTATGATTTTGTTGAAATCTTATTTTAATACTGTATGATAAATTGTAAATAACAAAATTAAATAAGAATCGCCTGCAACTATTTTAAAAGACATGTAGCAGTTAATTAATTCAAAATATTACATTTATCAAATGCAGTGCTATGCCAAAGATACCATGGTCTTTTCAATATTGTTTGATGTATATGTCTATTAAAAAGGCACATTCAAATTAACAGACATGTGAATGAATTCTAATAATGTCATTGCAGCTTGTTTGTAATATCACATAATAACATTATTAATCAAGTAAGAAAAAAAAACAATGGTATGAAATCATTTATCACAATTATTTATTTTGGTTGTCTCAATCACCTTTTTGTTAGTTATAAAAACATAATTTAAATTGCTTTAATGAACTAAAGCAGTGGAAACATTATTGTTGATACCCTCGTGTAGGCAAGTCAAAATACACACAAATGTTAATGTACAGTTACTTTACGTAATTTTGTTTAAATTTGGACTGCAACTGATGGTGACATTTTGTATAATGGATGCCATTTTTATGCCATGAAAAACTTATCTAAGAGGATTATAAACAGTTTGTTACATAATGCATATGTCTCCTGGGTAATAAAAACCAATCTGACAACGAAACAGTAAGTCTTGTTATGTACTGTATATGTATATAACAGGGTCACATACATGTAGATGTCACCCTCCCTAAACTAAAATGGATCCGTTGGTGAAAGCTACTAAGATTTTTTTACTTGTATTGCAAAATAATCCATGTTGACCATATGCAAAGAATCGAAACATTTGACAGAGAGGTGGACTCCTCACATAAATATCATTCATCTTTCTCAATGTTGGCAGACCTTTATCCAAGCTGCAAGCATAGTAGTGAGCAGAGAATGCTCTCTCTGCCTACACCTTGCACTTTTTGGGCCAATTTCAGCAAAACCGTACAATTCAGTGGACTTTTTCTGCGAAAAAAAAAGTCCCCCTCACTACAACATGATGCGATCTGTTGTCAAGACGCAAAACGATTCCTTCCAGTCTAAAGGCCTTCTTTTATAATAGTTAGCTATGATTCTGTTACATGTAGCTGCAAGAGCCTAAAATGTGATTGTGTTAGTTGCATTCAACTCACTTTGGTCCTCTGAGCTCAATAAGAATGTTATTCTCGGCCGTGTCTAACTTGAGCTGGTAGACTGTATTAAACTTTTTTGTGTCTGCACAGTTACCACACCCCCTGCCTTTCTACTACCCTGTCAACTGGAACATGGAATAAATCACCATAATTGTGGACGTGTCCCCATACTGGATAATTGAAAAACATCATATGTCAAGTAACAACGTTTAATAATCTCATATATTATTACGGATCAAAAAATTCAAAGATGGCAATAATGCATCAAAATATATTCCATACCTTTTTAAGAGAAAACTGATCTAAGTCTAAAACCGATCTAAAACTGTGTCACATATATTAGTCAAGGACCAGATAACATGCACTTTACTGTATTCAAGAGAACATTTCGACATTAAGCATTTGTTCAATCTTAAGTACTTTGTTATTTAAGTGAAGAAAAAACAAGAAATTAATTGGGTCGAAAATATTATTTGTCTACTAGACACATTATGAAATTTTCCTTGCCCGTTAATTTCCAATTTGATTTCGTGCTATCACTTTAATCGGTTTTTAAATATAAATTCTTATAGAGCTCATTCCCAATTAAATCATCCTTACACGTAAATTAACATTAATTCATTAACTGGAACTCTTGCTGAATGCAATCACTCTAATAAATTCCTCCTGAGTAGAATACAGGAACGCTGGTGATTATTCAAACACGTAGGAAACAAGATTCTTTTAATACCCATAGGCAAGGTTTCAATTTCAATCTTGACTCGGAAATTTCAGGATGTCGATCTTGGCCGTGACATATATATACATATATACATATATATACCCAGTATATACTGTGTGTGTGTGTGTGGTGAAACAGTAGCAGATTTAGAGGGGGGTTCAGAACCCCTCGATTTCTGGGCCCCTCTTGAAATTATAATTTTGACTAGCTGAATCATAGTTCTCTGAATCAAAGTTCTCAAATGGCATCATTTGCCCTTTAAAATATCAAAAAAAAAAAAAAAAAAAAAAAAAAAAAATTCGGGCCCTATACAACTGTATAGTCCAGATAACTCACGTATTAAGAGGACATATATTTGTTGTTTGGACTTATTCAGCTGATGATCTGATGATAACGTCGGGAAAGAACAATAACGTAACTGATCTGTGCTACATAAATCAGTCAAGGGCCAGATAACGTGCACTTCATTAAGTAGTCCTCAAGAGTACATTCCAATAGAAAGATAGTACAAGGCGTTCATCTTTCAGTACTTTGTAATTTCGATTAAAGTCATATAACCAAAAGCAATTTTATGGCTATTAAAAGCATGGCATTTCATTGAACCGTTCAATCGGTTATTTACAATTGCGTTAAATTTAGTAAGGAGGGTGTAACCGTGGAATCAAAAATGACAACATAATACATGGATAAATAAATGTTAAGAATGTCATCTGACATGAAAGAATCTGTGATGACGATGTATAACCAACAATGCTGTAAATGTTTAAACTGGTTAACGTATAATAAAACAAGCTATTGTTGCCCACTTTTTCTGGTCACTTGTACCTACATGTACAGTTATATCTAAAGTATTGTGCATGTTATCAATATTGGCATGATACAGTTTCTTTACATATTATTCATGGTCACTGTTACCTCTCATGTTCAGATATCATGTACGAGACTATAAAGGAAACTGGGTGCGCTGTACACCTCACATGTCATTGTTCCACTATTGACTGTATGTCTTTCCAATGTAATGATCTGACAATATGGCCGAGGCATTAGCAGCGGCTTTCACGGATAACATCTTGACATGTAGTATCTGTCTGGAAGAGTATGAGGACCCCCGGATGCTGTCATGCTACCATACATTCTGCCTTGTTTGTATATCTGACCACGCAAAGAGAACTATCACTAGGAACAGGACATTTCAGTGCCCTGTTTGCCGAGAAGATGTCCAGTTTCCAGCAGGTGGACTTTCTAAATTCAAAAAGAATTTTGCCTTTTGCAAGGCCAAAGACATAATAAACCAGCAACAAACAGAAAGAGGGGCACCAGAAAATGTACAGACTAATGTGGAAGCAGCGACACAGGTCGTTGCAAAGTTCACCAACGGTTGTGAGAAACATCCTGGTAACGAACTGAAATACTACTGTGAAGAAGATGATACCGTTGTTTGTGGTGACTGTGCATTAACAGATCATTACAGGCATGGTATTTTACCTGTAGAAAAAGCTGAAAAAAGCAACAGTGAAAATATCAAAACTGCTCTCGTTAAAACAAAAGTAAACGTATTCAAAGAGGCAGTCGTCAAGGAAGCAACCATAGAGTTTGAGGGGTATCGTGAGGCATCTGCTGCTGGACTGGAAGCCATGTTAGGACAGGTGACAGTACTGTCAAAACCTACATTATCTGGGCAGGTGACAAATCCAATGTCAGAAACAAATCTTCCCGTTTTCTTAAAGAAGGCAGAATGTGTGCATTCCTTCACGGCTAAACTGAAACATGATAAGGGAAATTTTATTATATGTGGGTTAGCCATAGATGAGCAATTTATATATGTTACACTTTTAATAAATGACAAAACAAAAGTACGGGTATTCACTCATGCAGGTCTGTTCATGTTTGATATAAAGTTAAACACGCCATTTCATGTGGCTGTGTCACAGACTGGTAAACTGTATATAACATCAATAGGTGACAAATGTGTCAAAGTGTACTCCACCACAGGTAAACAGGTGACGACCATGGGTCAGAGTCAACTGGAGGAGCCAACTGGCATCACACTGAACAGACATGGCTATGTGATGGTTTGTGACGCAGAAAAGAAATCCATCTTCACATTCCGTGCAGACACTGGACAGCTCCTGAACACAATTCCACTCACTGCGTGCGAATGCCCCACTTTCATCACAGTGAACGGTGCCAATGATAACATTGTGATATCAGACGTTGACACATATTGTGTACACGTGCTGTCACCTACTGGTGATCAGCTGTACCAGTATGGCACAAAAGGCAGTGGTGATGGTCAGCTGGATAAACCATGTGGAGTGTGCGTGGATAGATATGGCCACATCTTCATTGCCGATTGTTATAACAACAGGGTTGTAGGACTGAGTCCACAAGGGCAGTTCATCAAACACATTGCAACTGAGGACGATGGGTTGGAATATCCCATAGGATTATCTATCAACCCTGCTGGCCTGCTGGTGGTGGCAGAGGGAGAGGGCAAAGTTAAGACACTCCAGTACTTACAATAGATACTGTACTAAGTATACTAACAATGATGACACATCATTTAGAACAAGAATCAAGAACAAGAATCAAGGCTGCTGTTAGTAGCAGAGTCAAAGAAAAATTAATTTCAGGTATTTTAGGATTTACAGTATTAATTGTTCACCTATTGTGCACTGATAACACAATAATTATGTTAGGATCTTATTATAATACAGTGTGATAAATGGTAAATAAAATTTAATAAGAATCACCTGGAATTCTTTTAAAAGACATGTAGCAAATAACTTATTCCATGTATTACATTATAGAAGCAATGTTATGCCAAAGATATCATGGCCTTTTCAATATTGTTCAATGTGCATGCCTATTATACAGGCACACCCAAAATAATAGATGTGTGGTATGTACATGAATTCTAATAATGCCATTACAGATTGTGTGTTAATATTATTGATATTATATCATTATTCATAAAGCATAAAAACAAACACTTGTCTGAATCATATTTATTTTGGTTGTCTCAATAACCCTTTCATTTAGTAAGAAAATAATTGAGATTGAAGTTTTGAATAAACCAAAGCAGCGGAAAGATTGTTGTTGATACTCTCGTAGAGTCAATTCAAAATGCACACAAGAATTCATATAGAGTTACTTTGTAAAATTTTGTATAAATTTGGACTGCAACTGATGGTGACATTGTGTATAAATGGTGACATTGTCATATCATGAAAACCCCCGATTCAAGAAGCATATAGAAAATTTGTTACAAAATGTATGTTTCTTCGGTAATAAAAACCTATCTGACTTTGAAACAGTCTTTTAATGTACTGTACATGTATATAATAGGGTCATGAACACGTAAATGTCACCCTCCCCAATCTGAAATTATGGATTTGCTGGTGGAAGCTGATAATCTTTTTATAATCCTACTGCAAAATAATTCAAATTCACCATATGCAAAGAACCATTTGACAGAGCGATGAAATCCTCACATGAATGTTATTCCTCTTTTTCAATTTAAGCCTTTTTGGCCATTTTTCACAAAAGCATTCAATTTTGTGGATTTTTTTCTGAGAAAATGTTGCCCACACCCCCACAGCCTGATGTGGTCTTTTGTCAAGAAATGAAACTGAAACAATTTCTTTTAGTCTTAAGGTTTTCTGCATTTTAACTATTAAAACTGGTTCGGAATAATCCCTGTTGTCCTCCCAGTTATTGTCATAATCCAAGACTTCTATTCCAATATAACATGATCACTGTAGTTGTGATATTGTAAATGGGTTGGATGAGCTAATGTTGAGAAGAAAAGGTCCTTCCTCTTTTGGATAAAATGTGGATGGCATTATGTTATAAATGCCACCAGGTATACTGTCCAACTGAAGAACACAGAAACCTCTCCTGGAAAAGTAAGAATTTATAATGATAACATTATAAAGACTACTGTTTGGGTAGACTATTCCAAATATCTAATTTTTTATGTAACTTGAGAAGAAAACACAATGCTATATGTTGTTTTTAAATGGATTTATTTACTTGTTGTTTAAAGAAATCTTTCTGTGAGCGCATAAACCATCTGATAAATACAGGGGTCTTAACATATGATTAAATTTTTCTTGCTTTCAGTGGCTGTTGTTGAGAAGGAAATAACAATAATCTGCATATTTTTAATTATTAAAATATATAATAGAGCTGTACTTTCAACGTTAAATAATATATTCAAGGCAATTTGCTAAAAAAAAAAAAAAAAGAACCCACTCTCAAACCTTCCAAATCCCCAAGCTTTTTCAACACAAACACAGCAATTTTTAACACTAAATTAGAATAAAGAAACACTATAAATGATTAATTCCATTCCCTGCCTTATATAATGGCATCACCGCATGTGAAGTTGTATTCCTACCTGTAATCTCCAGAGGTCTTTTTCTGGAAGCTGCCTGCTGATTCATTGCAAGACACTGCAAAAACTTCAAACCCAACACTGTATTGCCTGAAAAAAAATAAAATAAATAAAAAAATAAATTAAAAAATATTTAAAAAGAGAAAACCATGGGGTAAGAGATTTTGAATTTCTTATTCCTTAAACAACTTCTTATATCTTATTGCTAAAATAATAAATGCTTTAATTGTGTAATGTGTGATTACATTCCCTTGTTGTAACTGTGCTACTTTTAAAACTGTCCTATCTGTGATTGTGCCACTCGTGATCACCCTAGCTGTGATTATATTACCTGTGACCACCTTAGCCATGACTGTGTTACTTCAGATTGCTAAGCTATGATTATGTTAGTTGCAAGAGCCTTAGCAGTGATTCTACTAGCTGCATTCTACTCACTTTGGTCCTCTGAGCTCAATAAGAAGGTAGTTCTCGGCCGTGTCTAACTTGAGCTGGTAGACTGGATTAGACTGGTGTGTGTCTGGATAGTTACCACAGCCCCCTGCTGTCCTGCCTTTCCACTGCCCTGTTAACTGGAACATGGAATAAATTACCATAATTGTGGGTGTGGCCATACTGAATGACTGACAGGCTGATAACCTCATGGTAGTGGCTTGATCATTTCAAACTGTGAATTCTATAGATACTGTATTTTTTTAGTAATGAATTCTTAAAATTAGAACATTCCGGTTGACTGTGATAATGCAATTGAAAAGCACACCAACTAATAGTTCTATTTTATACAGTGATAGCACCAAAATGCCACATGGAAATGTTTTTTATGATTCCAAAATAATGTCTAAAAAATTGATATTTTTTCCCCGTTGAAATGATTGAGCCATTACCATATTAACAAATAGGATTTTTTTTCATCTGGAATATTCTAACCATATCAGGTTAAAATGTCTAAAATTGCAACTGAGAAATATGGAGACCAAATTGTTAGCTTTACATAATAAACAAATATTATCATTACATTCTTGTAGGTCTAGAAGCAGGGTTGTTAGATGTAAACACAGGACATCTCTTGCTGGTTTCTGTCCTGTATTGTTTCATAGCTATTCAGTTCAATGGCACAGGGGTAAAAGAAGATACCTCCAAAGCTAGGAGGTAAGGAATGAGGTGGGGGCATGATCCAATACCCCCCCCCCCCCCGGCTGTAGATTTGGACCTTAATTTCACCTGTTTCTCATATTTTGGATTATAGGGTTCCATGATCTTGCTGAAGACAAACTCGCAGGTAGAGTACACTCTCAGTGTGTAGTGAATAGTGTTGTTCTTCTCATACTGCGACGTGACCAGCGTGTACGTGGAGGAGCCGTTCACATCCTCCAGCATCTTGCATAGATAATGCGGGCTGTTGATTCGGACGCCATCTTTGTATGGCGGAGGGTCATCTGCAAATATAATCACACCAATCTGAAATAGCGTCATAGTACCATTATATACCTAAAACATCTTTAAATTTGATTCTGAAAGGAATACTGATCCTTGATGTCAAATGTTTTTGTAGTCACAAATTAAGAGGACAACATCAGAACTCTTGAGTTTCACTTAATCACAAACCCATACAAATAAGCTGCATTTCTATATTTCATACTACATACACTAGGAACTAAACATGATGGTAATGCTTTATATGACAATCTTTTGTCACAGTGCAGTTATTTTACCGAATTCAATCCAAGTACTTACAAGGATAAAATACTCTCTTTCCTGACCCCTTGTAAACTAAAACAGTAATGAATTCTCTGTTGTTGGCAAAATCATCCTAAAAACAATATATATATTCTGTTATTAATTTCTTTTCCAGTCAAAATAGAAAACACACACATTTGTACAAGTCTGTGTTTAGCTTCTAGTGCTTGTGCAAAATTATGAATTCAAAGTAAGTGTGAACTCATGTCTATGTGTGTGTGTTTGTGTCCCAGTTTCAGATTGCATTAATTGTTGTGTTCATTAAGCCATGTGTGTGTGTGTGTGTGTGTGTGTGTGGACAATGGTGTCATCTATACATCACTAGTTACTCACCCTGTCCTTGATATGTCTAGTCATCAGTATCCAGACAGCAGCTTTGGTTGGGTGTGATGACTTCAACTCCAGTCGATACTGGGGATTATCTCCTATGTTGTATACATCTTTCTTGGGACCTTCTTTGGCTGTCCATGTGCTGAAGAAAAATACTGAGCCATATGAAACTCTCTCTCATGATAAAAATTCAAATTGTACATTGTGTGTTTGAATTTGCAGTGAAACTAACAGTAAATATAAGATGCTAAATAAGTTAGTCTGAAATATTACTCGTGTGTGTGTGTGTATGTGTGTGTGTGTGCATGAAGGTGTGTGTGTCTAGAGCATGCATAGAGATTATATGTCATCATGCAGACAATTCACTGAAATTCACTGTATATTAAAATAGAATATATGATGAAACTACACTTGTGCAGAAATCACAAATGTGTGAAAATTTTGTACTATCAACAGATTCCATCCCAAAATATCACTATAAACAAATCAACTTAAAATGAACAGCTCTACATGTATATTCCACTTTCAAATTGATCTTTTAGACACTATTATGTCACAATTAAAGATGATATCGATAATCAACTTACTGGTGGTAGCAAGTTGTATGTCCAAAAAGCTCTGGATTCCAGTTCACATAGATCACATCATAGAACCTCAATATGGACTCATAGTCTATCCAAAATACACCTAAATGAAAACATACATATATCAATTTATAGAGCCTCAATACAGACCATGAGTCTTTCCAAAATTTGCCTAAATGAAACAATAATCCCAGGTTTGGGTTGTACCTAGCCAAGAGTTGATTTCATCCAAAGTCTCATGTTGGATAAACTTCAGGGGTGAACTTAGTTATTAAACTTTGTTTGTTGAGGGTTAAAACAGGGTAAATGTAAATATTAAATTCATAGCAAAGTGTACCTCCCATAACATGAATATTCATAAACTCATACTCACCATTGTCAATCATCTGAGCACTCTTGGGGTCAAAGTTCAAGGCCTTCTGGAGCTGAGGTGTCCAGTTTGTGGTGTCCCTCTCAGAGAAATTCCCCTTCCAGCACAGATGACTCCACGGGTTCTTTAACTGCATCAACTTCTTACCCTGAAACAAAAAAAAAAGAAGAAAACAAGTTAACTAAATTTTGAGACATGTCAGAGAAATTCAACTTCCTGCAGAGATAAATCCATGGGTTCTTTTTACTGGCTGAGTGGCAGCATTCTACCTACCATGATTTCACGAATGTCCAACATGGCGTACGCATGAGTGGGAACAAGACCAGCCCGCTCTCCCTCTGCATCAGACATCTCCCCTGTTGCCACGGTAACCAGACAGTGGCCTTTATGGAAGCGGTCCATAATTTTGGTGAATTCTTTATCCTTGTTAAACTCTGGATTGTTGGGTCTGATGGCAATGCGTTCTGGGATCCAGCCGGTAAGCGCGTGCAGATCTATGTTCTGAAAATGGACAAGGTACGGTTGTTTATAAAACACTGCTACTGGAAATATATATTTAGGCACATTTATTAGCCATTAGTGTATCTCCAGGGGAGGAGGGAGGGGTTAACCTGTTATCTGTATGCGCCCCCCCCCCCTCTCCAACAATCATGGGAATTGAATGCAGTATCAGTTTTTGAAGGAGAAATTCTACAGGAGGAGTTCTCCAGTGGAAAACTGCTTGCAGAAGTTTTTAAACCAAAATGGAAAATATGTGGGTGAGAAATCCTTGACTGTCAAATTCATAAATATTTTTCAATTTGTCTTTAATTTAAGAAAATTCTGTCTTTTACTAGTACAGGTCTACAATGTATAAAGTATGATATAATACTGGCCTAAAAGGAAAAATGTTCAAGATCAAGAGTCATGATCACTTTTATTGCCCAGACCACTTACTGAGTTAGAGCCAGGGAAATCATACCCTCCCATCACCTTCAGGTATGCCTTCTCTAGCAGCGACACCCATAACTCATTCTTATTGGCAGAAAATGAACACAACAATTCCCCATCGTACCCCATTGGTAAGAAGTCATCTATGATAACCTGAAATTGACAGGGGGATCATGAACTCTTTCTACATAAAAACTGATTTCATCTTTAATATCTTTATTATTTCTGGAACCTGCTTTTATGATACTTATTTTGTAATTATTTCAACATTAAATTCATAAAGTTGACAGAAAATGTTAAAGTATTTAAACTGGAAATAATTATTTCCCCAGTGGAAGGCTAATGAAATTTATCACTGGTCTTTTTAACAAAAGTCACAAATGATTCAAAGTAATTGATTCTAGTCAAATAATATACAAATATTGACTTCCACCGAGTTGACTTTAATGTAATATTTTCAAATGGAATGTCAAATTTAAAAAAAAAAAAAAAGATCCTGTGGAATGCAGTGTGACATCAGTGGGATGAAATATTCTAATATTTCACAGTGCGGGCCAACACGATTTTTTTCTCGGTATATACAATATTGTTATTTGACCAATGAGAAAAGCCGGTATATTGGTGATTAATAAAAATATATGTGTATTAAATTGTTTACCATAACTAGCTTTTAAAATAAAACTATTGTAAAGGCAGTGATGGCTTTTGGGCAATACATACTTTCCTATGGACCCCGTTTATGTTGAATTTGACCATGTATTTTCCACAAGGGTTATACTGGGGTTCTCCATTTCTATTCTGGGGATATATGATACTGGAAATAAATTAGGCAATTAGATATGAAGAAACATATAACACAAAACAACAACCCAGGTAATAATATAATTCAATCTTTTACAATAAAAAAAATTGGCTGAGTGCAAAAATTAATTGATGAAGGCAGTTGGAAAGGGATTCCTTTGAAGAAATGAAGATCTGAATCACAGACCTTGATGAAAACATCCTAATAATAATGAGGCATTGGTGTAAGAATGCTTCCTGCCAATAGATTCAGATGCAGATTCAGATTCAGAAGTTTATTGACAATCGCCCTACATCCGGGCATGATCAAATACAAATACAAGAAGTAATCCGCAGCGTGATTACCATATACAGTTTGATATACATTATATAATGTCTAGACTAAAGCAGGGAAAGTACAAGTACTACTCAATAAAGATCAATATAGGGATAATTAAAAAAAAA